GGGAAACGTGCTATCTGGTTTCAAACAAGATAACTCCCCATCATTTCTTTATTATCTTAGTTAACCCTAAGTATCCACTTTCCCTTCTTAAACTTTACTCCATCTCTATATTTCTCTGCCAGTAAAAGATAAGCTAAAAGTCTGCAGATATTAATTTAAGATCTAAGGATATGTCTGTTGTTTTATTAAGTAAAACGTGCAAAGTTTTATTAATCAGAGCCGATCAGAATAATCAAGTGTACAATGTTTTGATGTTAAATTTTGATTCTGTTAATAAATGACCACATTCATTTTGATGGGTCAAAGAAAATTGACATCTCATGTCACTGATTAGACCATCTCCAACACAGTATCTCTGTCACATTTCTGTCAAGTAGCTCGAAAAAGAGAGAACCCGTTATTAAATATTGATTGTAGTGGAGCTCCTAACCCTACATCACTACAATGATACAACGGGGGATTGGTGGCGCAGAGGTTAGAGAGGTGGGCCTGTGATCCGAAGATCGCCGGTTCACGCCCCGGCCCCGACAACATCAAAATTGTGGGTGGGGTAGGTGAAACACCCACACTTGCCCCCACCCTCATTCGCCCCACTCTGGGCCCATGAGCAAGGCCCTTAACTCCCACCATGTGCTCCCTAAACAGGTCTCTCTTGAAAATGAGTGCTCGTAGCTCAATGAGACTACCTGTATAAATAAAGGCTAAATGAAAAATATAGTATCTGTGTATGTACCTTACCATCATAATTCAATCTCAATGTCACCATATATATATATCATGTGCATTTTAGCTTATATTCCAACCTTGAAATACTTATTCATTCAAATTCATCCTGCTGCACCATTATATTCTACCATGTTGTTGTTCACTATCCCTCTTTAGGACGTTGTAAATATTATGACTTTTTCAATTTTTTTTACTTTAGTTTTGTACCCTTACTGAATGCTTTAGTGCTTCTTGTTTGTTTGTTCTTCGTTTTAGCGAGTCAAATTGGTTCTTCTCATCCTAAGCATTTAATTGTACTGTTAACGTTGTGTATGACAAATAAATATGAACTTGAACGGTTTACAAATGAAGCCCTGTTACTTGCTATTACTACTGCTTTTATGATTCTGTAAAGTTTTATGTAAAGTGTTCTGTAACAGTTTGAAGGAGTGGCAATACATTTATGTTCATTAGATGAATAGGTAAAGTTTTAAAGTGGGTTTTAAAACCGTTAATTTTCTCAAAACTGTCATTTTTGAAAGTTAAAATGAAAGATTTTGTTAATTAAGTGCGTCTTGAATGAAAAATACTCCATGTTTAAAAGTATAAAGTGTATTAACACTATTAAAGAACAGGTCTTAAGTATGTTGCACAAATATTTCCATTGCATTAAAGAGACAAATTGAAGAAAAATAATTTAATAAACATGAGCGTTATGAGGGGGTCCCTGAAACTTTTTCTCCCTGAATCCAAAAAAAGTTTGAGAACCCCTGCTCTAAGTGATGGGAACAGAAAAGCCACCAGGTGTAGCCAACACAGAGCTGGAGAGCTCACTACTACAAATTTAAGTTGTGCATAGTTAGGTAGTACAGAACGAAAACATTGGAAGACACAATGTCATAAGAATAAATGACAACTTGTCACGCTCTTCTACCAGGACATGTTTATTTACAAATGATACGAGTCACAAGTGTTCCACAGGTACGTACAGAGAAACACCAATAGTTCCCACCTCCTGCACAATTGACACTCAGCAGGGACAGTCCAGGGGACACGGGGGGTGGGGGCTGTCATGGGGACAAAGGGAACACGCAATGTACACTGAGCTTCAACACACCTGTTTTAACCCCGACAGAAGAAAAAGGACCGAGGTGAAGTGGAGGAGACAAGGAGGAGAGGATAGAAGTGGAGAAAGGGGAGTGGGTGGGTGGTGGTGGTGGTGGTGGGGGGGGGGGGGTGTTAGACTCATATTCAAATACAAAAAAACATGTACAAATTGTATAGCCTTCAGGCACTGTGCTCCAGTATTTACAGTGATCGTAACAGGCAGCAAAACCACGCCATGGCAGGACCATCCGCTTGAGATATGCAGGTACAAGGACTCGCTGGGAGGAAACAAAGCCAGCACTGTGAGGGGGGTTCGAGATAAAAACCAGCAGAGTATGAGAGGCAGGGAACAGTGGCCATGGAGTGGGGGTGGAGGGAGACAGGGGGTGGCTTACAGACACATGCACAGAGTGCTGCAGCCAGGGAAATTAATCACTGTAGAGAAGTACATAATCAGGATTTATTCATCATCCCGAATGTCGGCGCGAGAGCAACGAACGCCTCGTTCAAACCCTCGCAGCATCCAGGCCTTGATGTGATCATCGTCTAAATGACTTTCAGAGCTGCGCGATGCATAAAGAGTCTGCAAACGGTACCTACATTTAATCTAATTTGCAAAATTAAATACATTTAAACAGAAAAAATAATAATAATTTGAACTTCTTGGGAGACACGATAAGAACCCAAATGTTTCTTTCTCACACATACAGATGACTTACAGTACTGTACGTGCAAATACATTCAACACACATACATGCTCACGCTCCCATGCATGTATGCACTCAAAACACACGCAATGTCCACGCCTTTCAAAACCGAGACTTCTGCGGCCCATGGCTTCACTTTGTACTCAAGTAAACAGCATTAACCTGACATCTAGTTGTACATCTGTGTCCGTCCAGTGTTGTCGACTACAACCCATGATCCTAAGACTAAGGTACAGTTCCCTAAATTCACAGCGTCACAACAATAAAAGTCCGTCCTTTGACACGTTCTCCAGCAAAAAGCAGTAATCCAAAAAAAGTACAAAGATCATTCAGTGAGAGCACTGCTACAGCAGCGTTGGGTATAGAAGAAAGAAAAAGAAAAGGCACATCAATGCCATAATTACTGCCTCCGTTGCAATGCCGTAAAATAGCCTTAGGGTATGGGTTTTCTTAAGGGAAAGGAAATGACTGGTAAAAAGCAATATTATACCATCACTGAACTTTGGACCAGAACACAACTGAAGGAGGAAAGAAAAGAAGAAGAGAAAGAAAAAACAAACAGCTTTTTATCTGAGGAATGTTCACAACAAATGCTAAGCCTTTCGCATTTTGGGACAAATAAAAGACACCGTCCTTTAGAGTATATTTACATAAAAGCTCTGTAAAATAGTCTTTTTTTTCACCTATATACAGCACATGACAACATCCGAGAGAATAAGACCGAGCAACAGAAAAGTAAAAGAACTGAAATTAAAAAAGTTGAAAAAATAAATAAAAAGTGAGGCAAACCTGGTACAAGTATGAACACGGAAACATACTAGAAAAACCACACAACATGGAAATGTTATTCTCTCAAGTGTTCCCATGCTTTGAGTGGATACATTCACTGATTTTTTTTTTTTTGCGTTCCCAAATATAAAACTATTTTATTCCAATCTTTAAGACCAACCATTTTTAACACAATCTTCTGGCAACTGTTTGTTTACTTGTAGTGACCATATCATGCGATGTAGACAGACATCGTTGGAGACTGAGAACAAAGGACATCTCTCTAACAAAGTTCAGTCAGGTCATCTGGACGGTTTCTCTTTTTTGTTGAGATGTTTCGTCCTTCATCCAAAGGAATTCATCAATCGGGGGAGCCACAAACAAACTGTATCCCACAAGCAGCATACTCCTGAAATATAATTTTTTCAGATAATATATTAACTTAATGAAATGTCTAGATATATGCATCCCGTTTTGATATTTAGAATGATAGTGTTAAAACATGATCTGATTCCATTTCCGGTAGAAAATGTAGATTCAGCTACATGCCTACAACTCCCAACATTCACACACCCACCCATTATAGCACACAAGATGGCGAGATGTTATTGGTTGAGAGCTGGGTCACATGATAGAGTAGGACTTCCCATTCGTTGATGGTGGTGACGACTCCAGGAGTTGTGGTTTGGCCGAGCTCTGAAGAAGATGGGTTGTCCGTTTACGTTTGGCGCCATTGTTCGTGACCGCATGGTGGAGTTACAATGGCCCAGGGCTGGTGATCTTGTACTTTACATGTAAAATAAACCTTCTGAAATGGAAGATAATTGCTCCTCCTCTCCCTGCTTCAGATCAGAACACATTCTTACACTCCCATAGTGCACCAACCAGTTTGCTGGTAATAAGATGGTTTCTGGGGCCCATCCTCTCTGCCGTCGACTCCTCTCAGGCAGCAATAGCCAAAGTGGTTAAAAACATCAAGGGTCATGCTCAATAATCTCGGACTGATGAAGTCCTTTGGATGAAGGACAAAACGTGTCAGCAAAAAAAGAAACCGTCCAGATGACCTGACTGAACTTTGTTGGATTTTTTTTTTACCTGGATTGTTAGTAACACTTTACAATAAGGTACACAAAATTTGATCAACTACTAGGGAACAACTTAGGAACAAATCAGGAACAAATCAGGAGCTAATAGGTAGTTAACCAGTACTTACTGGGGAATACACAGTCAAGCCTTATTAGGGGACTACTGGTTTGTTGCCACAGAAACAGAGGAGAAATTTTCCATGTGGGTTCTGAATAAACCCTGCACCAGTGAGGTCACCGCTTGCAATTGTCAAAAAACTGTTTCCTAGTGATTACTGGTTTTAATGGATTCTTACCACTCATTATCAATTTCATAATCTTGTTGTCATCTTATCTATGTCTGACTATCACTTACTGAGTACCAAATCATTGCATATCTATTATTTTGTTCACTGATATAGTGAAGCATCATACCAAGTACCTAATAAGGCTTGGCTGTGTTCCCCGGTAAGTACTGGTTAACTACCCATTAGCTCCCGATTCATTCCTCTTTGGTTTCCTTAGTAACAACCCATTAGTTCTTGATTAGTTCCTCTTCATTTACAAGGTAACTAACCAGTAGTCCCCTAATAAGGTGTGTTCCCTAGTAAGTACTGGTTAACTATCCATTAGCTCCTGATTAGTTCCTGAGGCGTTCCCTAGTAGTTAATCAAATTTTGTGTACATTATTGTTAAGTGTTACCGATTATGGTCTTTCCAAGACTGTTTATTCATTTAACCTTTATTTATACAGGTTAGTTTCAATGAGCCACGATTTAACCCTTGAGATCATGTTTAACCCTTTTATTATGAACGTATCGCCGATGCCACATTCTTAGGTAGTACATTTTTCCTTGGGTGTTAACGTGTTAACTGGAGTTCTCAATGATCCATACTATTCAATCCCTATGCACTGTTTCATCACCTCCAAATTATTACCAGTCATGATTTCCTGATTCGTTACATCCTCAGACACTGCCGCCTTGAAACTAAATGCTGCTACATTTGCATCTGATCAGCTCAAAAACTGAGCTCGGTGAAAGGCATAGAACGGTTGTTTCAGTGTAACACTCAAGCATGGCAACACCGTGTCCTTCCATTTAATCTGACAGAGACGATCACCAACTTCTATCCCCACCACTGATTGTGAGTTTCGTTTCATAAGACATCAACGACTGGGATACGGGGGTACAGACGTGTTTTTACTGCGTGGGCATCCCATGGTTTTAATAAAATAATAATAATAAAAAAAAGAATAGTCAGTAAAATTCAGCCTTAAAAGAGAAAAGTGAGACAGAAAAAGAAAACAATACAATCAAGAGCCTTCCATAATGAATCCATAATGTGTCTAAAAGGTTGACTCCTTCTTTCTCTCGTTATTTTTATTTACAGGCGTCTCTCATTCGGGCTTGTTATTAACAGATATAGTATTTTACTCCACTATTTTCCAGTGTTGTCACTTCTCCGGGGGTTTGGTCTCGTGATCCGAATGTTCATTTGGTGGCAAAGGGGAGTGGACCCTTTATTTTTTTCCCACTTTTCTTTACGCTTTGCTGTCGTCCGGCTTTATGTGGAGACTGTTGTCACTGTGCACCTTGATTTCAATCGTATCCGGCTTGAGAGACTCTTTGCCATTTTCTTCCTTCAACGGTAGCTTCCTGCAGTAAAAAAAAAAAAAAAAAAAACAGACGGAAGAACAATGGGTGAGAGATTTTAAGTATTTACTCCTCACTGCTTTGGCAATGAAAGAACTTAAAAAAAATAAATAAACAAGAGTGATGTTTTTATGCCATTTATGAAGCACAAATAATAGATGCTAAGTAAAGCAGGACAAAAACGTGGCTATAAAGGAGTGCGCCTAATGGTTTTCTCAACAAAATATGCACTTTCTGACTCCGCTGCTCATAAATAATCACCTTTTCCAGTTTTTGGTGCTTGACTGAGCCAGTCTACTTGGATTAATAAAGCTGCATTTAATTGCGACAAAGAGGCAGTGGTGAAATTAAATCTAACAACCTCTCCATGGCTACACAAAGGGGTAATAGAAAATATAATTAATATGCTTGCCTTTCTCTGGTCTGAATCATTACAACCTTGCCCAGTTTGTCAGCTTCTGGTCTTTGGATGTCTGATGATGATGATGATGAGGATATGGAGGAGGAGATGAATGAATAAAAACAACCAAACAATGACTTTGCAGGAGTTTATTCAGCTAATCATCGAGGATACAACAGGAAATCCAGTCCGAAGGTTGTCCTAAACTGTCGTCCTGACATTTTGACTGGAAGGCTCATAATAATTCAGATTACATTTTTATACACTTGTTTTGTCTTGCTATGTTAAGACCGTCACTGAAAATTAAAAATGGATTCAAACAGAACCTAAACCCCCTCCACACCATTTTACTACCTAATATGAGTTGCTACTGGCCAATAAACTTTATCAGTACATTCTTGTTCTTCATTATCAACTCCAACACTTATTTTTTGTAAACTTTTTTTTTTATAAGAAACAAAAATTTTCTTGTGGTTATGAAAAATAAAGTCTAAAAAAACAAACAAACAGTAGTTTGGTGTCTGACAGATGAGTGGAATCAAAGACTGTCTAAATAAATCCACTCAGCAGATGTCAGTCTGTCCATCCAGACCCAGCAGACCGCAGCAAGCAATTTGGCCTTATAAGAATCATGTAGGGGAACACCACCTCAGAAAAAGAACACCTCATCTCAGAAAAAACAGTTCACCTCACCTTAAACAAACATCATTCCTGTGTTTTGTGTTTGAAACTGTTAAAAATAAGATTCATCTATTCCCTTGGGAATGAACACACATTGTTTTACAAATATTCAACTCAGCTCACAAACTTCTTGGTTGACACTAATGTAAATGTAACTAGAGAAATTGCATTTCCAGCGAAAATGCACGTGTGAATGCCTTTTGCGCACTACTTATCTTAAAACAGCTGAATAGTAGCTAAAGAAGCATAAAAAAGCTTAAATTAGCAGAAGGAAGCAGAAATAGCAAGTTTGCCCAATTAGGCGGAAAAAAGAAAAATGAGCGCAAAAAGTTGAAAAAAGCCAAAATTGGACAAAAACAGCTAAATAGTAGCTAAACCAAGCAGAAAGAAGCTAGTTACTAGAAGGAAGTGGGTAGAGCATGATTTCACAGAATTAGGCTGAAAAAAGGTGGATTGATTAAAAAAAAGTGAAATTAGCTGAAAAACTGAAATTAGCATAAAACAGCTAAATATTAGCTGAAATAGCAGAAATATCTGAATCTTCCTAAAATGAGCTGAAAGGAGCCTAACAAGCTGAAATTTGCAGAAATAAGTTAGAAGAAGTACAAAAATGTTGAAGTAAGCTGAATAAAGCTGAAAAAAGCACAAAACAGATGGAAAAAACAGCTGAAATTAGCTCAACTAGCTGATTTTTATTTATTTCCATTCAAAGTCTATTATGGATCGTTATCATCTACCAATATGCCAAGTTTAATCTGAATAGCTCTAAAAATGGCAGAGTTATCCTAGTTTTTCTATAAAAACAGCTGAATAGTAGCTAAAGAAATGCAGAAATAAGCTTTAATTTCCAAAAGGAAGTGGAGAAAGCTTAAGTGTGCCCACTAAGCCTGAAACAGGCAGAAATTAGCTCAATAAAGTTGAAATTATCTGTGAAAAGCTGGAATTTGTTAAAACAGCTAAATAGTAGCTAAAACAAGCAGAAAAAAAGCTTCAATTACTAGTAGGATGTCGAAGGAACATGTTTTTGCTGAATTAGGTTGACAAAAGTTTAAATGATTTCAAAAAATGTGGAACAGCTGAAATTAGCTGAAGTAGCTGAATATTGTTTAAAATTTTGTGCAAGGAATCTGAAAGAACCATAACCAGGTCTAAATGTGAAACTACTAGTACCAGGTTATAAACGAATCAAAAGTTATGAAGGATGTAAAATGAGCTCCATTCATTTTCAATGAGAGCAAGCAAATATGTCAGAAAAGGCTAAATATCGCAAAAAGCTAAAGTTGTACCAATACCAAAAGTCATAGCAGACATGTCCTGAAACAGCTGAATGTTTTGATGTGTGATTTGTTGGAATAGCACAAAAACTGTGGGAGTAGTTATATGCCGAAAAACGTACGGAAAAAGAAGTGAATCACTATAGTGTGAATGACTATAAAGGCATTCACACTATAAAAAAAACCTGTCACTGTGTTAACCTCACTGCCAATATGAACTCATTTCCCATGAAACAGACAGATTGTTTTAATGAGAGTTTTGATTCAACTGACTTCAAAATTTTTGAACCATCCAAACTCGCTACTTTGATATGTTCCTTTATTGAAAAGGAGTACTTCTCCCAAACTCTTTCCCATCAAGACAACACCAAAAGAACCCTTTATTTAATAACATTCCTTTTCAGGAGATGTACAGCGACACCTTTTGGTGACACATTGCATGTTATTAATTCAAAGAAGTCATTTCTGTTTTATTCCATACCTGAATGTTTATTCATGAAAATGTGTGTTTTAAGTCATCATTCTTTAAGATAATACATTTGTCTTATTTTCTCTTTTAAAAAAGGAAGCATTTTAAGGCAGAGAAAGGGACTATAGATTTATTTAAGAGGCCTTTATAAAAAACAAAAAACAAAGCCAAGAGTTAAGACCACCCCTCCTGAGGTGGATCTTCATCTCTGTAACACACATACAGTAAGCACTTCTTCGCACTTCACTGAAGCTTTGGCTAAGAAAACTTCTGGAGAAAACACACGCTTTGAAGAGACGCTCCAAAAAAGACTTCACTGGAGCTCTGAAGAGAAAACTCCAGAGAGACGACTTTGAGCAGAGACAGGACAAAAGATATAGAAGTTACCCAGCTTAACCAGAACCAGGCATTAAGCTGAGAGCTGTCTACCAGAACCATCACTCCGCAGAGTGGTAAATCCCAGCTGACTGCCAAATGGACCTTTGGCCCTCTAATGATGACAGGTGAACTTTGAGGAGACTTCAACCTCTCAGTCATTGGAACATTCTGAGGCTGGTATCATTTAAGCAGCTGTCGAAACCATGCTCTGACCATCTCATCCTGGTAGGAAAGACTTTTTAATGCCTTTCTAGTGAACTTGCATCACCACTTATCAAACCAACTTAGCTCACTTTAGACAAAATTTCTACACTCCACAACAAGAAACCAGTCCTAAGCCTGCCTTTTAAGTTTCACTAATTTGAATAATCAATTAGACCTTTGCTGCAAAGCTATTTGTTATTCATTTAACTTTTGTTATGCATTATTTTCATCACATATATCACCGATTATTATTTTTATAATATAATACATAAAACCAACTGAATTTGTGATTATTTTTGGCATATCTGTGTGTATTAACTGATTTGATGCCCTTTAAACACAAGAAAGGAACTCACGTTTCAGTTTACATTGATTTGGGGTAAAGAGAGACTGATTTTTCCTCTCCAAGAGAGAGGTGGTGCCCAAACAACGAGGTTATTTGCATAAAACATGCATATCTTATGAGCTTAACTGATAACTGATAATTAACAGTATATATCCAGCCCCATATATCGCTCTACACTCAAAAGTTCCTCCCAAGAGATATACTTTTATTTATTTTGTACACTCAAAAACACCTAATTTATAAAAACTAAACTATAAAAAATGGCTAAAATGTTTACCATTTGTTGTTTGTAGCACCCGCTTTGATGGTTATCAGCCATTAAATGGCCGATTATCAGTTGTTATCATCCCCATGTGTAGCGTTCAGACTGCCCCTCCTGTACCTCCCAGCAGGTATAAAGCTATATTGTTAGCGTTGATAATAGGCTCACGTGGTTACGTTCAGAGTAAAGGGTCTGGGGTTAGGTTTAGGGTCTGGGTTAGGCACATGGGTAAGGGGTCAGGTGTAAGGTTAGGTTTAGGAAAAGGGTTCCATAAAGCTGACAAAAACAAAAAAAAACTCCGGTTTTACCCGCTTGCTTTTCAGCGATACAAACATAACTTTAAAACTGCTAGGAGGTAGGAGGGACAATAACGTTCATTTAATGGGCTGATAACATCCAAAGAAGCTGTGAGTACCCAAGTCCCCAATGATATAGTTTAAATTTCTCAAAACCCTGATCATTTTTCTTATTTATTTATTTACTGCACAAGGTGTTGGCTTGAATTGCGAGAAAGGCAAAATTTGATACAGACAGCAAATCCAAATTTTAAATTAATTCAATCTCACTTAGCAATAGATGCAATTTTTTTGACTAGTTGTAGACATGATTTATACCTAAGCTGCATTTAGCATATTATACCTTCATCTTTCAACACACAAACAGCTGAACTTACACCCAATCTGCTAAAGTATGTAAATCATGTAAAATGATTGAGAGTGCCACCCAGGATTTCAACAGTGGATGCACTGTCTGAGCACTTTTTATTTTAAACACACTTTTCTGTTGCCATGATCGTGTTTATATCACCTAAGTCGTCACCAAAAACACAATCACTACATTGATTTGAGCAATAAGAAAAGAATAGCAGATGGAGGTTTGTCTGAAAATATATTTCTGTTTTACTGTCAGATGAAAACCAAATGTCATTTTGTTTGATGTAACATAGTGTGTGGGTGACTGTCTTGTAGATCCAAAAAAAAATAAAACAT